AAAGATAAGGAACAAAAAAAAAACTAAACTGGAGTACTGCTTTAAGATTTAAAGTCACACACACACACACACACCGTATAAAAGTAAAATGCTCATCACTGCAAAACCACATGCAAGGAGGCCGCTGGATCACAGACACAGAACAAGAGCCTGGCCAGTCTTAAAGGAAACTGATTGTTGTCATCTGCGACCAATGTTCCAGAACTACAAGTCCCAGGAGGCATTGTAAGACTTAGGGCGAGTTCACACCAGCTCATTCCGGCACAATTCGGTGCCAGGACGCACTGGATCGCATGCTGGCCGGCTCACTGCATTCTGGGGCGCGAGGGGGGCCGAACGGCGCCATTGGGTGTTTTGGGGTCTTCTCTCTTCCCCCCCCCCGGTCACTGCATCAGACATGATTGACAGCTGAGGCTTTGTGCGGGAGAACGGATCCCGATCAGAACCCGCTGAGTGGGCTCTGTATGAGATCCGGAGCCTCTCTCCTGCACACAGCCTCAAGCAGAGATCCCCATAACAGCCTCAATATGGGCTCATGCACACAGGTGGCTGGGTCCCTACAATGTATATCTCTCGTGTGCAGCCTCGCATATTAGTCAATGGCTGTATGCCGGGGGGGCCGTCCCCACCATGAGGCAGCCTCCGCCGTCCATTAAATCCAATGTATTGGCCGGGGGAGGGACAGCAGAAAGAGAAGAATCTGGAACACCCGAAATCTCCAAGGTCCTCCCAAGTTTCTCCACGGCTCTAAATTCTCAATAAGGGCCCCTTCGCTCCCCCAGCACTGGGTTGCATTGTCAATGGCAATTTGCCTCATCTCCTATTGTTGCTTTGTCGGCCACCTTTCCTTCCCGACAGCCTCTAGCGGCCCTTTAAGCGGGTCTGGACACCGGGGGGGGGTCGGTCGCAGACGGTCCTCGCTAACATATGATCACTTTGATTGGCTGTCACAGTGGTCACATGATTGGCAGCCCACCCCAGCGTCCAGGAGCAGTCGGTGACCGCTTGGTCATGGCGTGAGGGAGAGCACCCTCAGCGCAGAGCGAGCCGGGTGCATGCATACGTACAGCAGCTCGCCAGTTAAGCCCAACCGCCGTGCCGCTATTTATATACCACATGGGGGCGGGACGGCGGCAATAAGCGCTTAGTACCATAACGGCGGCACATTATTTATTTATATTGAGCCGTTAATATTTACAACATCTATAAAAATGTAAAAAAAAGACAACGTTCCCCCTCAGACTGAGCGGCTCCGACTCGCCGGCCCTTTAAGATGAAGAATTTCCAAGATCGGGTCTGAGACCGCAACGGCAAATCAGGATCCTCGGCGGCGATTTATGGGTTTAATCAGCGTTTTTTTCGGCCCATTGCGGCTCATAAAATCACAGCGCGCTCGCTTACAACGTGGAAGCGTTTTATTGCGCTATTAAAAAGGCTGAAAATGAAGTAATCAGCGCACATTAACATAAACGAAAAGCAGATAACGAGGAACACAGCAGGACACGGCAAACCCGAAACCATTCAGCTTACGTCTCACAAGTACCCCCGGGGGCGGCTCTGGCGCGGCTACAGGAGGGTACGGCTGGAGAACAGCTAGGAGTCAATTCACAGGATTAATAACAGCGCCGGCTGCAGGGGGGGTCAGAGACCCCAATACTAAACGTCAACAATAATAAACCTTCTCCGGGTCGGAGGATGTCGTATAGAACTCGGATACGGAGCTCGGGCAGAACTGAACATTCTAATAAATATCAATGAGCAGGATGACTTACACTGAGTGGCCAGATTATTATGACCCCCCCATCAGTACTTGGTTGGGCCGCCTGGTGACTCCACGAGATGGTGAAAGGCGATGCGAGGAATCTGACACGGCGCTGTTGCCCTTCTGTTGTCTTGTACCAGTCTTGCCCCTCCCCCGTTCTGCCCTAACATTGACTAGTCGCTGACGGCCACAATTCGCACGTTCACACCCAGATTTTCGGCTGACAGTCCGGTCTTTAAACACTTTAACAATGAGCCACTCCTGAACATTTAACGAATTCTGCTGTTTTGCTGATACTCGCTCCATGGCTCCGAGCGCCAACAATCATCCCGCGTTCAGAGGCTGTTACATCGCGTTGTTTCCCCGAATCTTCAGAAACAAATCACTTCTACTGTCGTGCCTGCGGTGCGATAAAACAGCGCTTGCAGCATTTTGACCGGACCGCAGGCATACTGTGCCTTGCGATCCCGTGGGGCCGATCGCATTGCGGCAGGAGGGGGCGTGGCTACGGTGCCATTCACTTCAATGGCACCCGCCACGCCCCCTCCTGCCCCACTAAAAAAGTGAGCCGGCCGCAATGCGAGGCTGTGCGTTCTGGCCAGAGTCGGGCCGGAACGCACTGCATCTGGTGTGAACGAGCCGCAAAGAAGAACTCGGGGCATGTGAAAAGTTAACCCTTTGCGGTGGGGCTACCTCCGCACTGCAAGGGTTAACTGCTCATTTTGGTCTAGGGTCTAAAATAACAAAAGCTGCCCTCGCCTCAGACCCGGCTGGCTGCTAGACCAGTCCCCCGCAGCCTGTCTTTCACTCTGCCCCAGCAGTCTAAGGTCCCGAGTCATCACGTCTAATACACTTGAGGACGGGGAGGGACATTCCACTGCTGGAGCGGACGTACTGAGAGGCTTTAGGGGTCCGTGTAGCAGCCAGCCAGGTCTGAGGTACACCTTTAGACCCTAGACCAAAACGAGCAAGGGTTCACTTTTCATATGCATGGAGTTATTCTTTAAGTTAGCCATGCGCAGGCAGAATTTAGGCCAAATCGGCTGAAATGTAAACCGTGGGGGGCCCCTTTCTGCACCGCGGGGGGCTCAGCAATCAGACTATGTGCTGGTAAGATGTTAAAGGAGAACTATGGGGTTGAGTCTTTTCCCCATAGTTCTCCTTAGGGTAACGGGAGAACACAAACTAGCGTCCTCCCATCACCCTAAGCTCAGTATATAGGGAGCTACAGCTCGCGGTATACTGAGACGCCGCAGCCAGAGCGGATCCCGACAATTGTGCCGGGATCCGCCCAGCTGCGTGAGTGACAGCTGTCTCTGCCTATCTAGAGGCAGAGCCAGCTGTACCCTCCCCCGTCCGTTCCGCCAGTCAGCGCTGGCAGATCGGAGCGGGGAGAGGGGAATCCAGCCCGTCCCATGTCATGGCAGAGAGCCGTGACAGGATCGAGAGGTGAGCGAACGCCGGTATGTGTTCCCTCACCTTCCGATCTACTGAGCCGACCTGTGACAGTCTCATTGTCACAGGTCGGCTAGAACTATGAGGTGAGTGAAAAGCACCCCTCCCCCCCCCTCATAGTTCTCC